AAAAAAAAAAAAATCACATGAGCTAGTGGAGCTCACAACAGAATTAATGATAAATTTGAACCCTTTAAAAGTACAACAGAGGGCATCTAGGTGGCTCAGTCAGCTAAGTCCAACTCTTGATCTCAGGCCTTGATTTCAGGGTCGTGAGGCCAAGTCCTATGTTGGGCTCCATGTTGGGAATAGAGCCTACTTAAAAAAAGTACAGTAAATACTTAATATGATCTTAATAAAAGAATCACATTTTGCGAAGGACTATAGTATTTGTCATTTCATCAGATTCTCACAATTGTGAGAGTTTAAGTAAGACAAGTAGTAGTATTATACTTACAAATAAGTAAATTAAAGTTCAGCAAAGTTAAACATTTTGTATGCTCTAGATAGAAAGAGCTTTTTCTTTCTTTTTTTTTAATTTTTTTTTTTCAACGTTTATTTATTTTTGGGACAGAGAGAGACAGAGCATGAACGGGGGAGGGGCAGTGAGAGAGGGAGACACAGAATCGGAAACAGGCTCCAGGCTCCGAGCCATCAGCCCAGAGCCCGACGCGGGGCTCGAACTCACGGACCGCGAGATCGTGACCTGGCTGAAGTCGGACGCTTAACCGACTGCGCCACCCAGGCGCCCCTTTTTTAAATTTTTAATGTTTATTTATTTTTGAGAGAGGGAGACAGAGCGTGAGTGGGAAAGGGGCAGAAAGAGAAAGGGAAACAAAGAATCTGAAACAGGCTCCAGGCTCCGAGCTGTCAGCACAGAACCCAACGCAGGGCTCGAACCCACAAACTGTGAGATCACAACCTGAGCTGAAGTTGGACGCTTAACTGACTGAGCCCCTCAGGCACCCCAAAAGAAAGATCTCTGACTCCATGTGCTTCTTCTATCACATCATGCTGCCAACAACTTTATGCTTATGCTTTTCAAGTTGTTTCATGACAATTAATGCTTAGGCAAGAAAATTTGGAAAATAATAAAGAGCACATAATGAAGGTTATGATCCTTAAAATGTAAGAGTTTTCCTAAAGATCTTGTTTTATGATGTACAGTATATCTAGCTGAAATGATGAACCAGTTAACTCAGCCAAAATGGACTTGAAATCCAAGAAAAAAATCTGCATTTAAAGTTAGATAAATCCACACACGTATCGTGATGAGCACCGGGTATAGAATTGTTGAATCAGCACACTGTACACTGAAACTAATATAACACTGTTAACTATACTGGAATTAAAATAAAAAACTTAATAAAAAAACACTAAGTGAATCTAATTTTAAATGCTTAAATGGGAAATAATGTGACCCTGAAATAGTACTATTTTTCAAGAGTAAAAAACAAAAATCACTTCTAACCACCATTTACCTCAATCATTTAAGTTTCTTCTAAACCAAATAAGGCAACTTATAAAATCAAATGATTCTGTTTGATGATTGGGAAACCCAAGGAAGTTTTTATTTTCTGAGAAATGCTAGCTTCCCAGAGATGATCAGTTTCAAAGATAGTTCACCTAGATTTGATTATTACCAAACCAAGGCACAGAAAGGGCGGGGGAACCAAATAGGAACATCCAACAAGTGAAATTACTTTAAATGGATTACTGGGATAATTCTCTTTTAATTCTTTTTATTTTTGAGAGAGAGAGAGAGAGAGAGATAGTACAAATGGGGGAGGGGCAGAGACAGAGGGACAGAGGATCCAAAGTGGGCTCTGTGCTAACAGCAGAGAGCCCAATGTAGGGTTCGAACTCATGAACCATGAGATCATGACGAAGTTGGATGCTTAACCGACTGAGTCACTCAGTGCCCTACTGGGAGAATTTTTTAAAACATCAGTTACATAATTAGTCATCAGGAAAATGCCCAATAAACTGTACTTTGTACAAAAAATAAAAATTTCATAGCCTACGTGCCTGGGGCATCCGACTTCAGCTCAGGTCATGATCTCATAGTTTGTGAGTTCTGGTCTTAAGTCGGGCTCTGTGCTGACAACTCAGAGCCTGGGCCAATTTCACATTCTGTGTCTCCCTCTCGCTGACCCTCCCTGCCCACACTCTGTCTCTGTCTTCTTCAAAAATAGACATTAAAAAAATTTTTTTTCTAGCCTATAAACTGTATACTATACCCTCACATACCTAAGTCAGGTGACACGCATTGGACTCGCAAAGAAGACGACCTAAAACTAGTTTTGCAACCACTAGCTTGACGTCCATTTTCAGGGAATAAAATCACCAAAGTGAAAACGCTTAAAAAAGAATTTCTTTAGAAGTTATTTGTGAAAAAATATTGTGGAATTCTCTTCTTGTTCCCATTTTACCCAAGCATGAGTAGCTCAAACTCAGACCTTGATCTGGTCCCCTGTAGACTATGGATATAGAATCCACATTTGGCAAAGTCTAAGACTGTGGCTGGCTACCTACTCAGAGAACAAAAGAAAATGGCTGCATTACATGGTTATTGGTCTGTACATCTAGACTTTGTCAGGGCAAAGGATACGAAGCTTTTTCCTGCGGACCTATGATAGCATTGATATGGGGCCAGCTTAAAAAGTACTTTGTCCAATAAGGTTGTCTAGAGACATGTGGCTGCCATGGAGAGCTCACAGGGTGAAGAAACTAAACGCTGCGGGCTGAGAACAAATCTTAAGCAGCTGACTAAGTATCATAGCAGAGACTAATTCATCAGCAGATCACTAGTGAGACACACAACTAGACATTAGGTGTCACTTTGTATCAGAGTTCTAGCCCAAGCAACATGAGAAAAAGTAATATAGGTAACTTCCAGGCCTTGCCCATATAGATGGCCCACATGTGCTTCTCCTTCCAACTCCATACACAAGGCACAGAGATCTTTACTGAATAGTTCTTACGTAATGAATGCCTACTCAGAGCTGGGCTCTTTTTCATCTTCATTCATACTGAATGGTAACAAACCTGACTCATGAGATCCTGTCTCCTAATTATGATTCCTAAGGAGACACAAGAGCAACAGTTGGGCTATCTTCTTCTGAAGATATGACCAAAGCCTAAAGTCATCAGAGCTGCTGTCTTGCTGGGGGAATTGGAGAGTATCAATGATGAGGGACTGTCAGTCCAGTTCTCCATGAAGCCGAGTGCACATTCTAGCCATAGGAACAATGGGACCTAGAGTAGTTACCGGGTTGCTTAAATGGCTTCCTTATAATGAATCCCTATCATCTGAGGTCATGCTTCTTAAACCGGAGGACACACCAATGACTAGAGTAAACTGGCTATTATAAGCCACAAGTCTAAATCCCTAGAATAGCAAAGTTATGATGTGGCAACTAATTCAGAAGAATATCAAACACGGCATATTATGAAGTGGAATACAAAAATCACATGAGTTTTTAAAATAGAAGAGTAAAATTCAAAGAAATTTCATTCTTTGAAGGTGTTAATGCAGGCTTTGTGTTCAGCTATCACTGGAATATTCATTTACCACTATTTTCCTGAGGAAAAGTTGGAGAAATACCAACCTATATGAAATGAACTTAGTTCATTTCACAGCAATCTGGAAGTCTTTTTTTTCCCCCCTTATAGCACATCCTGTTAGACTTTAAGCCACACTAGAATAGGATGTTTTACCCTTCTTTATATCCTTTGTAGTAAACCTAAAAGATGGCCCTCAAAGATACCCAAAACCTGATTCCTATAAATGGTTCCATCCTTAAGGAGTTATGTAACTAAGACCTTGGGATGGAGAGATTATTTTGGATTATCTAGGTGAACCTAAATGTAAGCACAAGTGCCCTCATAAGAGGAAGGCAGAGGAAGATTTGACCACAGAAGACAGCGTGATGATGGAAGCAGAGATTGGAGTTCCGTGCTTGGAAGATGAAGGCACCGTAAGCCCAAGTAATATAAGCAGCCACAAGAAGCTGAAAAGGGCAAGGAAATGAATCTTCTGCTCAGATCTTCCAGGAGGAACTGGCACTGAGAAAAGTAGTTATGTGAGCTGAGCTATTTTCACTTTATGCTATCTATGCCCATCCAAGGTGGAATACAAACCAGATGAGTAACACACTTGCATTTATAGGAAACACTGTCCTGAACTCTGAATAAATAGGTAAGAGGGGCCATACAGGCTTAAGACGAATTTTGGAGTTTCCAGACTGGTGACCATGAGAAGACTGGAGACAGTAATATACCTAGAAAGGGCATGGAAGCTTCGCACCCTTTCTGCACACCTTGCTCTATGCATCTCTTCCATCTGGCTGTTAGGTCATATGCTTTATCATATCCTCAATAAGCTGATAAATGGGGGTGCTTCGGTGGCTCAGTCGGTTAAGCGTCCGACTCGATTTTGACTCAGGCCATGATCTCACGGTTGGTGAGCTCGAGCCCTAAGTCTGGGTCTGCGCTGCCAGCACGGAACCTGCTTGGGATTCTCTCTCCCTCTGCCCCTCCCCCGCACCTTCTCTTTCAAAACAAACGTCAAATGAATAAGCTGATAAATGTTTGTGAAGTCGATCAAGAGAGACACTGGTGGAAGCTCTTCAAGCAGGGGTTATTAAAGCCTACAGTGCTGGAAGCCATGCAACCAAAGCCTCTGCCAGGGTCATCCTTTGTTGATGATGAAGAATATCATGGACACCTCGCATTGCAAGTGTTACTCATCAAGCCAGACAACAGATGATGGAAAATCTGGTTGAAAGCATCCTGGTCTCTCTCAATGGTCTTCCCATTCCTAATCAAGTGCTACCTAAATGATTTATGAAGGCTGAGGGTTCAGTGGGATTGAAAACAGCAGACTAATTGGGGGGGGGGGGGGGGAAATATAAAAAAAAAAAAAAAATAGTTCACGCTTACGTGATAGCAGGCTGCATATTACCACTGCTTTATACATACAGAATATATAAAAATATCTATCAAAAAAATCTATGCTATTTAATGCTAGTCTGGCCTCCACAGGAAAGAATCTGAAAAGCAGAAAGACATAGAAACTTAACATCAGTAATTTATATATTATATCCAGTCTCTAATTTGGTCCTTACAACTCTAGGTAGTAGTCATGTCTGGTATTGATTTCAATTCTGCAGTTGAGGAAGATGCGGCTGCAAAGGTGGAAGCGGCTCCTAGTCCAAGGTCTTCTACCAGATGATCTTTTACATCGATAGTATCAATATACCTATGGGTCTGTTGCACTGGCTTCTGAAATAACTTCAAGCTTGGAAAGAAAACAGATGCCACATTTTACAACAGCATATTTTAATTTTATGTCCTCGCAAACCGAATGCCACACTCAAGTTTGTCAAGAGACGGGCTGAAGAAAACATGTGGACGAGTTACTAAGCAGTCTGTTCCTTTGCGTGAAAATGAGAACAGTAATACTACTACCCCTTAGATTGCTGTGTGGATTATATGAAATATACGCACAGTGCTTAACATAGCTGGTCTCACAGTCTGTGTTATATGTTACAGGACGGCTCTTCCCAAATTAAAATTTGCTTTCCGACCTCGAAAATTAACAAACTCGAGAGATAACAAAAGAGTGAGGCACAGGAGAAAAATAAAAACAGGCCCTGGGTACCCTTTCTTGAACACTTGGTGAACGGCGCTTCGCTTTTACCGAAAGATAACCTACAGGAGACGCTGGGGCCAGCGATCCCAAAACCTAACCCGCGTTAAGGACGCGGAGCAGGGACAGCACGGGTGTGGTCCAGGGGCTCCCACCCCGCACCAGAAGCTTCAACACGTGTCTCTCTCCTCCCAGGCCTTCCCCACTTCCCTCAGAACTCCTCGTGCTACAGAATCAGCGACTGCGGCTTTCTAGACTCAACCTACACTGTCGCCGTCCGTCAGAGACCTGTCCGTCAACGAGCCCGACCGGTCCCGGTGAAATATACCTCAACTGCAAGCCCTCAACCGGCGCGGGAGGAAACGCGAGGTCTGTCAAGGAGCACAGCGTTACGACCGGAACTCCACCCCCTACGTCTCCGATAGGGTAAACGCGCAAAGGAAAATGCAGAGCATTGGTCAGCAGCAGAGAGGCGGGCCATAGCTCCGGGGAAGCGTAAGAGTAAGGCGGGAGGGACAACGAAGTGCCAGGAGCCAGCCTCTCTCCGGATTGGACGAAAACAGGACGACTGCGCCTGAGTAAACTCAGTTTACGTATAGCCCCGCACAGTACGGCCCCTTTTACGTTACGTTAACGGAAGTTTCAACGATTCATTGGTTGTGATGGTTTACGCCTCCTGGCTGCGTGGCCAATAAAGGGCAAGAATAAAGCGGTTTCCGCCTCTTTTTCGGGCAACTGAGCCATTCAGATGACTTTGGGCAACGTGACTTCCTTCCTTCTTTTGGATGCTGTAACTTCCACTGAGCCAAATTCAGGTAGAGAAATTGTTACAATGACTACGAAGATTTTACTGTGAGTAAGAAATACTTAATAGTTAGGGTCCTGAAATACCCACGTACTCTCATAACTTCTAAGTATGACTTCAGTGTTTGAACGCAAAGAAACTACTCTTTTGCACCTTTTGCGTCGGCTGTGTCATTGGCCGAAAGAGCTATCAATTTGAAAGTAGCTCTGCCTCCGCCCCAAGGAACTCTAGGATTTGTAGTCCCGGACGCTCGAGTTCTGTCGCTTTAAATGTGGTTGTTGCTGCTAGGTTCTTCCTTATGATTAACACCCGCCGACGTTTACTGTGGTTTTGATGTGTTCCGTTGTGCTTTTTATCTTTTCACTGATCAGCACCGTTAAAGCTGAAAGACAGAGAAACTGAAAAGACTTGATGTGTGTTGTAAAGATAAATAGTAGTGTGTGAAACATTTTACAGCTTGTGCTTGGGCGCTGTGCTAGATGTTCGTAAATACCGTATTAAGTGAATAGTAAGATTGTTGGTTTGTAAAAATTTTGCCATTGCCACAAAACGGTCTTTGATTTTCATATTAGTCTACATTCGCGAATATTTGAAAAGTACCCTAAATTTGGCAGTTATATATACTGTTTCGGTGTGGGTAGCAGCTGCTCACATAAATCAAGTGTTGATAGGACAAGAAGAACTGGCTGCCGTCATGACAGGAAAATAGTGCTGTAGTTTAAAATGTTAAGCATGACCAATCTCAGAAGGTTACACGCATTGTGCATTATTCAAGATTGCGTTATGAAGTCCATTTTCAATCTTTATGGAAACATTATGTTGGTTTAAGGCAGGGTTTCGCTACATTTATTGAATCATGAACTTTCACTTCCCTGGGCCCATTTGGTAATATTACATCACTTTTGTGTTTGGCAAAAGTAAAAATCAATGTATAAATACCAAAAACTTCTCCTGAGTGGCCTTTTCCCTTTCGACATTTTTTTACCCTAATTAATAGGTAATATGAAGTGTTTAATTTGTGTAAGAAAAAAACACGATTTTATGATGTATAATAGTTACACATTCTGGATTTAAAGTTAAGTACATTTTAAAGCCAAGCAAAAACTGCTTTTATGACTGATGTTTGGAATTATTACATTTTTGTTTTAAAAAAATCAAATTATTTTTATCATTTTTTTGTGTCTTGTTTCTAAATGACCAAGAGTATCAGATTGTTTGTAGATACACCATGGAAGATAATATTTCTTTTTATTCACAATAAATGAAGAGCCAAACTGAGCGTAATCAACATTTCTCCTTTTAATACTCTATATCATGTACTAAGTGAAATCTGTGAATATAAAAGTTACCCTGAGGCAAAAATTCAGAATTATAAGTTTTAATGCTTTCCATTATCTAGCATTTTAGTGTTATTTTTCCTTTTGCCTCCTAATTTATTACTTTTAAGTTTATTATGTATTTTAGGAGAGAGAGAGAGAGAGAGCGCGCGCATGTGTGAGTGAAGGAGAGGCAGAGAGAGAAAGAATCCCAGGCAGGCTCCACACTAAGCATGGAATTTGACACAAGGCTCAGTCTCACGACTGTGGGATCATGACCTGAGCCAATATCAGCAGTCGGACGCTAAACCGACTGAACGACCCAGGTGCCCCTGCCTCCTAATTCAAATTAGTGGTTCACATTTGGGATATAAATGAAATTCAGATGACCAAGAATAAAAAACATTAAGAACTGCAGGTGTCAAGACTACTACTGTGGTGAGGAGCAGTGTTTAACTGAGTGATGAGTCAACTGAGTGACTGAATCGTGAGCACATTTGGCTAATCTGTATTAACTGTCCTAAGTGCTCACTCTTTGGGAAGCTCCCAGAGTGTCCCACTTAAAGAGCTTAAATCGTTATTTGTTGAGAATGTAAGAATAGAAATTGAAACAGGTGCCATTACTGCCTTTTAAGATGTGAACCTTGGAATCCTTTTTATATAGTGTCTATATGGGAAGTAGGTTAAACAATGGCCTCAAAGGGAGATAAATGCAAGAGGAGTCTTGAGGTGCAGGAAGAGAATACTACTACCTGTTTGTATTTACTTTTTAATCTCAACTTTTTTCTTTCCATTTTTGTCTCTTAAAAAATTGTGCACATGATATAACAGTATAGACTTCTTGAAATCTAGCTTATCCAGTTTGGAATGAATGGTAAAAAAAATTTTTTACGGGGAATTACGTGATCAAAATAGTCTGGAAGTGTTAAAGAAAAAATTATTCACGATACTATTAAAGACAGGAAGACATACTTTATTTGTGGGGGGCTATTGTGGTGGGGTTTTGTAATATGGGAGAGAATTGAGCTCAACTCTGAATGCATAAGTAGGAATTTATAGCCAGTGAGCAGGGTGTGGAGGTCAGTGGATGGAAAATTATGAAGAAGAAACATTGGGGTGTGGAGGATTATTGCTAGATTGAATCAGCAGTGTTCTTGCTGAAAACAGGCTAGGGTAATCAGACCTCACCTGGGGGATAGTGAAGGCGAGGAACCCAGTCAGATATGGTTAAACTGACTTAGCATTCTTACTAGAATTGGACATTATAAGGAAGGACATGGGAGCCCAAGGTCAGGCCTACTCAAAAAAAGAACACGTATATGTGTATAACCCCACAGACACTCTCCTATATACACACAAAAATATTTGTATTTGCTATTAAAATACAAAGTCCAGGGGCACCTGGGTGGCTCCGTTGGTTAAGCATCCACGACTCTTCATCTCGCTCAGGTCATGATCTCACAGTTCGTGAGTTCAAGCCCCACATCAGGCTCTGCACTGATGGCATGGAGCCTGCTTGGGATTCTCTCTCCCCCTCTGTCGCTGCTCCTCCCTCCCCTGCTTGGGCTCTCTCTCTCTCTCTCAAATAAGTTAAAAAAATTTTTAAATACAAAGTCCAAATTATGCATAATACTTAGAAATACTTATGTTCAATCACTATACCAAGGCTCAACCAAAGACATAGAACCATTAGGAAATATATATTAAATTTTTTGCAAGGAATTGACTTGCACAATGTTGGGGACTGGCTAGGGGGCAAGTGTGAAATCTGTAGAGCTGGCTGTCAAGAAAGGCAAACTGAAATTCTCAGGCATGAGCTGAAGTTGTAGTCCACAGGCAGAACTTCTGGAAAACCACCTGAGTCAGGCCCATCCAGATTACCCAGGATAATCTTTATTTAAAGTCTACTGATTATGAATGTTAATTACATCTACAAAATGCCTTCGCAGCAACACATAGATGAAGAACTTCAAATCACTCCTTTGAGAGTGGGGGTTTCAGGCTTGGAAGTCATTCCAGAGAACCGTGTTTGATATTGTGTCTTGTATTTGTGGGAGTGGATTAATTTAAGCATACAGAAGGTACAAATCAAACCCGCTTTTCAACTCTGGTAAAATATGTCTAAAAAGAACAGCTCTCCTTCAAGCTTCGTTCCACCTGCTTCTCTAACTCCCTGCCTCATTTGGCTGGCTAGTCCTTGAGACCTTGGCCTAACAGCCTGTATCTGAAGCTTCTGGTTTCATTCCTAAGCACCATATTCCTTTGTCCAACTTTTGAATCCCAGAGCTCCTTGGAGGTTTCCCAATAATATATATGTGCCTAGGCATGCATGCCTCTAACATGTAAGGAGTACTTCTTGGCAAGCTACCAGCTGTGGAGCTTTTGAAAATGGCAACAAGACTGCCATTGAAGCCAGAGGGTGGGGTGGTGATGAGGACATCCTGGGATAGGTGCCCGCTGATTTATACCAGTCACCATGACAAATTTTTTTCAATGGTGCTATTTTAGCTTAGTTTTTAGATGGGCTTTACTGTTTCTCCTTTTACTTTAGACTGATGAAAGTTGGGGATGAGGCAGGAAAAGTATTAAAACAGATAATTATGTTAATTATCTGTTAATCAGAAACAGCACCTACTGCCAAAAAACCTCTTGACAGAGTTGCTTAAAAGTGAATTGGCTGGTTTAAGCTGTATGTTCTCTTCCTGCCACTTTGACGTTAAAAAGAATGAACAAATAGTGAAATAGCACACTAAATCGAGTTGGGAAGAGAGAGAGGCCAGAGTATTTGATAAACTAGTCTTTGGGTTTTTTATTTAATTAATAATTATGATTATAGTTTATTTTACACAGACAAGTATGATTAGGATTGAAACCAACAGCTTGGGATCTAATAATTGCTAAGAAACAAGTTCACTTTTTTCTTGAATAAGATACCAAAGTACCTATTTGCTTGTGCGTATGAAGTGATTCAGAGCATATGGCCGCAAGATTAGCTCTAAATGGACATAGCTGAAGGCTAAGGTGAATGTCATTACACATTTACATCCTCATTTTTCCTCCTCCTTGCCCCCAATTTATACTAATTTTACTTTTCAGGTTACTTACTTTTAAAAACTGTTCAGTTTGGGAAAGTTCCGTCATACACAAAGGTAGAAAAAATGATACACAAACCCTTACGTATATGACCCCATTCATCCAAGTTTAACTGATGGCTAGAGTTACTTCGATTGCACCCACATTCCTGTTAGATCTCCTATCCCAGACATCATTTGGCTTATAAGTATCTCTTTTTATCACTAAATAATAACAGATTTTTTTTCTCCAAACATAACCTCAATAGGCAGATATTTTAATAAGGACTGTTACTCAAAACGAGGTGTGTGATTTTGAGCAAGTTCTTTAATCTCTCTAAACCTCAGATTACTCATCAGTTGACAATGTCTCCCTTTCAGGGGTTTTCTGAAGATTAATGTAACATCACTGAAACACCTAACACAGTGCCCGCCACATTGCAGACATTCAAGTTCTGGCCTTTGGTGGCTTATACTACTTGCTCTGAGAAGCTATAGGAAAAAATGACCAAAAAAA